ATAACTGTTCACATATGTGTTGAAGACGATATGATTTTGAACGAAAAGTTTGCTTCACCAGTGCTTAAAATCAATTTCTAATCAAGGCAAAGCTAGAGCACGAAAATTGGATTAGACGGTGGATATTCACTAGTCAGCACTGCTCGACCGACTTCTTTACTGGATTGGACGGTGATTATTCACTAGTCACCACTGCTCGACCGACTTTTTTACTGGATTGGGCGGTGAATATTCACTAGTCAGCACTGCTCGACCGACTTTTTTATTGGATTGGGCGGTGAATATTCACTAGTCAGCACTGCTCGACCGACTTTTTATTGGATTGGGCGGTGAATATTCACTAGTCAGCACTACTCGACCGACTTTTTATTGGATTGGGCGGTGAATATTCACTAGTCAGCACTGTTCGACCGACTTTTTTATTGGATTGGACAGTGAATAGTCAGTAGTCAGCACCGTTCGACCGACTTCTTTAAATTGCAATCAAATAGAGATCGACTTTGTCGTGGCAGAAACTCTAAAAATTGTTTTAAAAATCGAAGACACCATGATGAATGGCCAAAGATAATAACCTAATCATTCTTAAAAGAACTTTTTGAAAGTGAACACTGATGCAATAGTTCGAAAAGAACTGTTATGAAACTAAAAGACACGATGCATTGAAGTACTACTCCTCATGTGTCAACGTCTGCTAAATGAAAATTTTAAAATACACAGATATTTATAATGGCAAGGTTATTTTGTTATTTTTTTGGCCATTCGCCACCAAAGTTTTTGCGATATTTATAACATCTTTTTAACTTGCTGTCTCTTTCAAAACAAATCATACAGTGGAGCAGAGCTGAAAATTTAAATATTCTCCACATATACCTCCTTCCTATTACCGTTCCAACTTCTTCCTTGACTCGGATTGTTGCAAAAGAGAGCAAAGAAATAAAATTCAATAAATAAAATCCTTGAGCACATTGCAGCCAGATTAAAAATCAAGACGGCTAGTATTCACTGGCAAATTAATTATTTTTTTAAATTGGTTGGACTCATCTTAGCTCATTTTGTCACACAAAGCCTTCTTTGTCCTCTCTCACACTGCAGCAAGAGCAAGCACAAAACAAGAAACAAACAATCATGAGGCAACTACTCCTTCACATATAATTTGAAAGCACGCGTTCTTCTTTCTTCATTCGAGGGTGAGAGTTTCGACTTCAACTGAAAGCGAGTGTTCATTTTACAGTAAAATGTTATGTACTCAGTGAACGCAATTTGTTGTCTGGAGTTATACAACTATCTTATATTTTCCAATTTCCATTGTATTTCTATTTTCATCGAGTTCCGTGAGATAATTTACCTCTCATTTGTGTATCAAACAAATATTTTTGTAGGGGATTGCAAACCAGCCAGACAAGCAAACGTCGAAAACATTTTCATAGCAACCTTGACCTTTACTCATTAACAAAATATTGCATGCTATAACATATCTCTCTTCACTTCACCATTGAAAAATTGGAACAAAAATTGTTTAGAAATTGTTTATTATATAAGAACAGAAGATAGTCACAGGATGAGTGCAATACATCTATCTATATTGTAAGCAAACGAACTGTATATTAGCAAGCAATTTATCTATATACTCTTCAAGAACTTTTCCGAACCTTTGACGAGTATGCACAATATGTATTTGAACAAATTCCAAGTTTCTTTGAATCTGACTTTGAAGAACAAATTACAAAACTGTTCGCCTGTCGCACCCTCTAATCAGGCAATATAATACAGTCAAACCGGTATTTAGCGGTGTAGAATCAACCAGACACCCCGTATTAAATGGACACTTTGTAAAGTCCCGAATCAGATCTCATATAATTCGCAGTAATGAAACCTCTATCGAGCGGACACCTTGATTAAGCGAATAATGAATATGTTTTTTGTGTTTGCACTGGTTTCGGTGTCCATTTTAAGGTACATCGGACATTACTGTACATCGTTCTAACTGGCTGTTGCATAAATTAACTACGTTACTCAAAATTCATGTAACGGTTGTGAATCATGGGGGGAGGGGGAGGGGAGCTTTTCTTCAATATTACTTAACACTGCGAAGTATATGGTCTTTAACGCAGAATACTTTTCAAAATGTTTGTTTCACTCAACTTATTCGGCATTACCTGTTAAAATACTGTTTAAAATAATATACAATGTTCTTTCATCTCACACGAACATTTTGTTCTTTGTACAATCCCATGCAGGCAGGTCTGGCAATACGATGAATAGGACCGATTAAAAATTTTGTTACAACATGTATGTGACCAACAATAAACGTTTTATTATCGAGAACAATGTAATACATTTGTTTATTGGCAATGGCACGGTGTGAGAAAGACTTGCCAATTGTGAAGACAAGTCGAATAACGACACCATAGAATCAATGAATATTAGCGGGAAACCGAAAACTTGACAATTATTTGACCGTTTTATTTCATACAAAAATTGCGTAGACACAAAAAATAGTTAAAAAAATGAACTATTCTAAAAATAAGAACGATTTAACGAAGGCTTTTACATTAACACAACATTCCCAGAGTCGACTAGGATTGGGCTCATGACAATTTACTTCCAAAAGTCCACAGCTGAACTTTAATTTCCCGTACTTACGAGGACGATAATGACAGTTACACCTCCTAGAATCAGGGCGAGTACGACCTGCAATGTAAAATGTAGAGAATCGAATAAGCAAAGTTTTCCAATATTTAACAATTATTGAGTGAGACTGAACATGATATGAAGAATCACTCAGACTGAGATCAACGTTATCTGCCGAAGCGAATAGGGAATAATTCTTGATATCATGCAAGAAAACCATATTTCTTTCCTCCACATGGTAAATATTTAAAGAACAAGTATTTGTTGGGGATTGCCTCACTTGTTTTGCCCAACAATTCACAATTCACAATAAATTTCAACTGAGTTTAATAAAAATGTTCACAATCACAAATGACATTAGATATGCGGACGTAAAACAAGTTTACTACAATGTAAACTCAAGTTCTCCCGATAATCTTCACGTTCTTCTGTTAGATGTTCTGATGTGTTCTAATGTTTTCTAATGTGCTTATTCTAGGTTACATTGGTCTTATTTATACCTAATGAATGGGAAATTATTATGTATTTATGACGAAATTATTAAGATAAAATTTTTTAACTCATCTAGTTCCTTAAATGTTAATTAAGTTCCTACTGCGCCTTTCGCTGTATGGTTGCTGAATCACTTCCATAACGTAGTTTCTAACATCCCAGATTCTGATGATGCATTTTTGCTTCCCAAATTCTAATCTGCTAAACTACAGTATGATCATTTCATGCAAGTTTACGACATTTTTTGCGATTGCTATTAGCCTACTTAAGGACTATAAATTACGCTATTCAACTAGTGATGGAAATGAAAAAGCCGAAAAGGTTTCTCGTGTATCTCTAGCTCTTTAGTATTACACATTATTATTGAAAATGTAAATAGATAATTCTGACACGAGGAAAAAATATATCAATCATAATTATGCTGGAACAATGGGAACAGCATTTGCCTATTATCCCTGACAGCGTCGGTTACAAAATACTAGAGAGTTTACGTTCCACTGTTTTTCGCGACGGCGACGTCTTGTGTTTCACAACGCCGGCGCAAGCGTATTTTTAGTTTACGCAAATTTACAACGTCGCCTCAGCGGAAAAATAATTGGCGGGAAAATAAATCAGAAAACATTGCTTTCAAAAAAATTCAAAAACAAAAAATGCCGAAGTGGAGAGCAATTCGAGAGCGTCTCTTTATGTCTTATTCGGATCAATCAATCGACGACGAAGACTTTATTTTGCTTTTCAACTTATATACTGCTAAAAGTCCGGATTTGCCTTATTGGAAATACGAAGAGTTTGATTTAGATAAATTAAGCGACGACGAGTGTAAAGCAGAATTTCGGTTTATGAAATCACACATTTATATTCTTGTGGATGATTCGAGGCTACCACAATTTATTACATGTTATAACGGCCTTAAGGTTGATAGAGTTGAGGCATTGTGCATATTTTTGAAACGTTTTGCCTACCCTTGTCGATACCTGGATATGTTGCCAAGATTTGGTAGACCAGTCCCTCAACTCTGTATGATCAGTAATGCTGTCATAAACTTTATATACATGGAGTGGAAACGCTTGCTGTTAACATTTGATCAACCATGGTTATCTTCCGGCAACATTCAAGAATTTTGTAATGCAGTGTTTTAGAAGAGTGGTGCCTTACAAAATTGTTTTGGTTTTGTCGATGGGACAGTACGTCCAATTTCTAAACCTGGTCAAAATCAAAGAGTTCTTTATAATGGCCATAAAAGAGTTCATGCTTTAAAATTTCAGTCAGTTGCTGTTCCAAATGGTCTTGTGGCTAATCTCTTTGGTCCTGTGGAGGGTAGACGCCATGACAGCGCAATGCTTGCCCAATCCAGTTTATATAACAAGTTTCAGCAGCTGGATCATTTGAACAACGAAACTCCTGTTTGCTTTTATGGTGACCCTGCTTATCCTCATCGACCTCAACTACAATTCCCATTTAAAGGAGCAAGAATAACTCCTCAACAACAACAATGAAACAAAGCAATGAGCAGTGTAAGAGTGTCTGTCGAGTGGATTTTTAGGGACATAGTTAATTATTTTAAATTTCTTGACTTCAAAAAGAACCTAAAATTACAACTTAGTGCAGTAGGGAAAATGTACACTTGTTGTACCTTACTTCATAATGCAAGATGTTGTTTTTTATGGGTCTACAACCTCATAGTTTTTTGAACTTAAACTCCATCTATACATGAATATTTTGTGTAAAAAGATCAAAAATATTCTATTTTGTCAAGTTGACTAATTGTTTAATGGACAGAGTTTAGTCATCAGGAACATTTTTTAACATCTCTCAATTATACTCTTGTTATGGATAACTTTATGAATGTTTCATCTATAATATCAATAACAGTAAATTGTGTATGTGAAAAAAGTTTGGTCTACTCTCAAGCAAAAATATATGCACTGTTTTAATAAAACATTTCAGTCTTTTTTAACAATATTCTGCATCAATGTTAGTAAAGCAGTGTTTTGAAGTTGCAGTTGATGCATTAGTTGCTCTTGTTGCCTTTGCTGAGCAGCAATGCTGTCAGTTAAGGCTTTAGTGAGAGCTTCATGTTGAGAAATGATGTTGTTTTGTTGTTGTTTTCTTTCATCAGCTTCAGCTTTTTTCAACATCAATTCTTCTCTTTTAAGTTCTGCATCAACTCTTGACTTTTGTTGTAAATAGGCAATGATTTCACTTCCATTGGATGACATTCTTCTCTTAGGTTTTTCACCATTGTTACTTTGAAATTTTCTTTTGTAAGTTTCAGCTAATGTTTCCATTGACTGTTGTCTCATTTCCACAGCCTTTTCTACTTCTGCAACAGAGTTTTGTTTTTGTTTCTCCCAAATTTTCTCTTCTTCATCTCTATTTCTGAACAATTGAATAAATTCCTCAATGGAGTTTCTACTGCAGATGGCTCTGGAGAGATCCCAGAAGCTTTTTCCTCCTCTCTTAATCTTTTCTTTTGTTGTTTTTGAAGTAAAGTGTAGTGATCTCGAACAGACTTTTGCGTCACGTTAAACTTTGGGTGATCCATATCATTTAAGGAATCACTGATCATTTTCCATGCATTACCTCGTTGCTGTGATCCTTTTTTGAAGTTCCATGGTTGGAATAAATACATTTCACGAACTAGAATTTCATTATGTTCATTTGTCCAAGTCATTGCTTTTTTGCTAAAATTACAAAAATAAATAAGAATGCAAAGGAAACCAAACAAATAAACTAATTATAAATATATAATATTTCGTTTATATAAAAATATAATAAAATATTAGTTGAGTTGTAATATTTGAAAAAAACAATCGATTTAGTACTCTGTGTGTTAAATAATTTACCCTTATCTCAGTACAAACTGAATATAACAATAACTTATTGCTAAAAAAGGCTTTAAACACTTAAAACTGTTCGATTCTTACCTTTTTGAGTTTTGATGTTCATCCGCCATCTTGAACATGCAGGACGCGTCCAAAGAAGACGATTTCACGGCGTCGTCGCCAAAAGGAAGCAGCCAAAATGTTAAGAAGCATGCGCACTAGCATTAACTCCCGGCGTCGTCGTCAAAATGTGAAGTTTCGTAAACTCTCTACTAAAATAAGAACGATTTGGTATATGTCTTGATTGAGTAAGATTAGTGTGTTTCCAAATCAACAGAACAAGATTTGCGTTTTCCGCAGTTACATAAGTTTCCCTCATATCACGAAACACTTTGATCAGTCCCTCGTCATTCTGGAATTCAAATAGAATAGTACCATTTGATCCGTACACCATTATTGTGACGGGTGTTTAAATAAATTTCACGAAAAAATATAAAAACTAAGTCCATTCTATACTAAACGCATTATCTGCAGCAAAAAGATCCTGTTAAGCAGTGTTTGATGGTGCATAGAACGAAATGCTTAAACATCAAATTCATCGCATACTCTTTGCTCTAGTTATAACAAGACATCGAGCATTGCATGTGCTTTTTTTTTAAAGGTGATCGGTTCTTGGAAGACGCCGCAAGAAATTGTTAGAGAAGATAATAGTACGTTAACTGTTAAAAGCGTTTACCTCTTCTTCTTCGACCTGTCGCAGCAATGGAAAAGTTAACAAGAGCAAGAACCAAACATAGTACTGCCAAGATTCTCAAGGTATTCATCTTTGTCGATCTAAATGTTGTAAATTGTCATGTCAAATTATGTAGCGTGTGACTGTGTTATATTATAGATTGTAACTGATATTATTAAATTGATGGAAAATACGTAGATAGTTAAAAATTGTGGTTTCGGTGGAAATGCTATACGTGAAAGCTAAAGTACTAAATTCATGTCAAGGGAACACTTTCTCACCGCAATGCGTCATTGCGGTAGAATGTAGGTAGAAACAAAACTCTAAAAACGGAATAACGAAGTTGCAAGACATGTAAACGCCTAAAACCACTTCCTAATAATTATAATATAAATATATCTTGCAAGCATTTGTTCTAGAGCTAGGAAAAGCCGACGTTATTGGTGTATGAGCTGGTCATAAAAATTTGATAAATTAGCAGTCGTATTGCAGAGGCAAAAAAGTTCGAAAACTCAGTTTAAACTCATTGACGGTTGTCCGCAATCTTAACGATATTAATTCAAATATTCCGTATCGCGAATAATCAACGTTTGGAACTCCGTAACGTAAAAATCGTGCACAACCACTGTAAATATCCTTTTGAAGTGTTAAATATAATTGTCAAAATACAGTCCCATCGTTCGATTGAAGTTTTAAGAATAGGGAACCAGCAGTTCGTACAGAATGTGCGAAACTAAAATCGAAAGCATGAAAAGACATGAAAAGGCAGTCACAGCCTCACAAAATATCTTGAACATAATTTTATCCAGAAAATAAGTAATTTTGCCATGACTTTGAAAAAATTAGACAAATGTTCACACTCATTAAATTTGTACACGAACTATTAATAATAAATTGACATAACATATACAATATTTAAAATTGCAAAAAAGGTGAATCTATAAAAACGAAGTGATAATGAGCCACGTGGACTCCTAGAATGAAATCATTTAAATGGTACTGACAAGATTAAAGTATTTTCTTGCTCTGCAATGGCAAACGTTAGAGAACTTTGGAAATTTATCAAAGAAGACGATTCCTTTTATACTCTTTCATTGCAGTTTATAAAATAAGAGCAATACAACGCAAGCGCTGATTGGTCTATAGCTGAAAATTTGCATTAATCCGAGCTAAATTAAAGAGAATTTGAGAATCCATCATCAATGTTTAGGGAAAAATTAAAACATTTGCTTCAAACTTAGCCCATTCGCATTATTGTTATTTTATTAAGGAGACAATAGATGTTTTTCGTATTTGCACACGCTTATGCAAATCTCGGAGAAGTTTATGAAAGATCTGTCACGATCTTCGGTTTCTTGTTGTCACTAACGTCTCTTCGTTTTGCATAAGCCTGTACACAGCAATTAAACATCTTTCATTAATTGTATTAGCTTTTAAACCCACCATTGCTCATGCAGATGATTCTTATTAGAATTCAGACCTAATGCCACAAAGCATTTCACAGAGTAATGACGGAAAAACTACATGAAAAAGTATTTTCGGAATTATAAGTTATCAAAACGGCATAGCTTTAGATATATCTGCAATGTTAGAAAGTGAACGATTGTAGATATTGGAGCATTGATAAGCGTGTGTCCTTATAAAACCATCTGACCACTCGACATAACAAATATTGATGATCAATAGCATTTTGCCACTGAAATTTCTGCAACAAATTGAAAATGAACTTGACTCTCAGTTTGAGAAACAAATCCCAAAACAATTCAAGTGAATATTCTTTTTAGTATGTCATTATTTTAATTAGCTTGTTCACTTGTATCTAGTCATCAGCATAACCAACCATCGAATCCTTTGTAGAAGATTCTATAAATATTCTGGCAAAACATCTTTAGGACAAAAATCATCTGCATGACCAGTCATGGGTTGGCAAACAAAATCAAGCCCCGTTCACTGTTATCCAGATATTTTCTAATTCATCATCTACTACACTTGCGTTGCGTCTATGTATTATGTGGTCACAGTTTATTCGAATCCAATTCGCGTGCCCACGCTTATTTTGATTCAATTGGGAATTTTGTTCATGTTTGTTATCGAGCACGTGCGCACCATTAACCAGTCGCAGGGGTTCGATATTACCCCCCCCCCCTTGTTCGATTCCAAAAAGGTGAAAACATGTCAAAATGAGGCAAAAAAAACATCAAGAACTTGGGAAACAAAGCGAATTTATCTGCGACAGGCCACTTGTCTCACCAGTTTTAACTCACAATTGTCATGTATAGCTTCGCTTTTTTGAACGTGTTAGTCCTGACGGCCGTTCTGTTTTGTAGGTATTATCAATAGCATGTCCTAGTTAAGCCTCCTCTTAAATAACCCATTTGAGCATATTTTAAAGCCTTTTTTTATTGCTGATACACGCTAAACGACTGGATATAAGCGAAATGAGCACTGAAACCCTGTGCTTTTAAGCCATATGTAAGTTTTGCAGTAAGTACCGGCGGCAATTTTGTAATGTCGTCGTAAAAGATTTGACCGTCCACTGGAGAGCACGGTGAAAAAATATCCGTATTTTTATGCGAGCTTACCTAATGCGTATGGACTACAGCCATACGAGATGGAAAAAATTTTCAGACTCACAGATACCCTGATACATGTAAATGGCCTAAATTAGCTTGCTAACCTATGATTGGTCATGCAAATGATTTTCATTAAAATGCCGACCTCCGTTTCCAGAGTAGTCATTGAAGTCATTAATGACAAATGGTTATTTCTAACATTAATGATGTGTAAAATAACTTGCCTAATGATATATAGCTCAAAATATTTGCATTCATACATTAAATTGAATTGCTTGAATTTATTTTCGTGTTTGTTGATAATTTAACAATTGCACTAAACTCTATATGCCGCTGTGCAATGTTATAATTTTTCCTCAATCAGATCAGAAAAGCTCTTTGCCAGTTATTTCAACATAATTTGGTGAAATGTCAAAAGAATCATAGAGGTTTCATCACATACACTGGACAACTTTCAAACATTTTTGCCATCATGTATTATCCACGATTTATACAAAAGGCAAAAATGTTATTTGGTGATGTGGCAGAGCTGATTGTCGAGCAACTTCTGTTGCATGGTTGTATGACAATGACATCAGTTGTTACTCGTGTTACACAACGGCTACATGATCCTCAGGCTGAAGCATCAGTTCCCATAAACGAATATCTTGTTTCTGAACAGTTCGCCAACATGGCTAGCATGCATTTGCTTCAACGTTCAACTCTAGAAACCATTGATCCCAGTGAGGCTCCTCCAAATGAGAGTGAAAAATATCAGTTGCCGAGAGCATACACACCCACAGGTATGTTACTGGTGACTATTTCTTGTGATATTTCAATACTTCAATACTTCAAGTAAATGAAATTCTATAGGAGAAGCAAGCATTCAAAATGGCTGTCAGTATTTCAGAGTCCATCTATGTTGATAATTTCTCTTGTCAAACATCAACATATATTAATGGAAAAATATTGATGAACTTAGCTCTTTGTTTCGGATTGTGCCGCCTAACTCACCTCCATCCTTGGATATGATATTACTTTACCAGTTATCATAAAGAATTGCGCATGTCACTGTGGAAAATTATTCCTTTAAAACAAAAATGAAACCTGTTTTAACAAATGGTATACAGCTGATTTTATAGTTGCATTCACCTATAAAAAACCCTGACAAAAACAACTATACTAACGAACATAAAGGACAAAGAACAACCCAACGAACGACAAGGTGCAGTTTACAAAATAAACTGCTCCGACTGCCACGCCTCCTATATCGGGGAAACTGGCAAGAACTTAAACATGAGACTTACTGAACACAAACGAGCTACTAAGAAACAAGACAAAACTAATCACATTGCCGAACATCACCGAATCACAAAGCACAACATTAACTGGGACTCGGCAAAATACATTACTTACAGTACTGACTATAGACAACGGCTTACATTAGATAATTGGTATACCAACTTGGAACAAACCCCCCTGAACAGATCACAGCAATTACCGGCACCTTACAAACGACTTATTCACAATACAAACAAACGATCAACACTTCACACCAATTCACAATGACAATACACAATTGACACCCACACATTACAATTAAAAACATCATACCTAAATCATACATCACAACTAATAACATTTCACTTCACACTAATTCACAATGATAATACACAATTAACACCCACATTTCCTGTACACACAATACAATGACGTAAGAACCAGATAACAAATACGGCTAACCTGACGTTTACTCCTCATTTGACTCTGAGGATGACTACTGCTAAGGTTGTCGAAACGTCAGTCAACAACAACAAAAACAGTCCTTCTCAGGACTATATCAACCTGGACGATCTATATTTACAAACATGTAAAACACATACTGTAATGTTTG